TGGGGAGGGGGGAACAGAGAGATGGGGAGGGGGGAGAAAGAGGGGGGAACAGAGAGATGGGGAGGGGGAGAAAGGGGGGGCAATAAAGAGATGGGGAGAAAGAGAGGGAAGAATGAGACACAGGGGGAGAAAGAGAGGGAAGAATGAGACACAGGGGGAGACAGAGAGGGAAGAATGAGACACGGGGAGAAAGAGGGGGAATAGAGAGATGGGGAGGGGGAGAAAGAGGGGGCAATAGAGAGATGGGGAGGGGGGAGAAAGAGGGAGAACAGAGAGTTGGGGAGGGGGTAGAAAGAGGGGGGGACAGAGGGGGCAATAGAGAGATGGGGAGGGGGAGAAAGAGGGGGGAATAGAGAGATGGGGAGGGGGGAGACAGAGACAGAGAGGGAAGAATGAGACACGGGGAGAAAGAGGGGGAATAGAGAGATGGGGAGGGGGAGAAAGAGACAGAGAGGGAAGAATGAGACACGGGGAGAAAGAGGGGGAATAGAGAGTTGGGGGAGGGGGGAGAAAGAGAGGGAAGAATACCCCCCCTCCCCTGTCCGCAGGCACCGTGCGGGCAGGGGAGGAAGAGAGGACCTGGGAGCTCACCCTGCAGCTCCTCTGGGTCCTTCTTGCGCGAGCACAGAGCGTTGCCGCGGTTACCATGGAAACGTTACTGCTCTTGCGAGAGTCAACTCTAGCCCTGGAGCTACGGGCTAGAGTTCACTCTCAACACTGTAACCCCCATGGATTCCTGGTGGTCGCAGTGGTGAGAGTGAACTCTAGCCCCATAAACACACTGCCCCCACACACACACCATACACATTCACACACTGCCCCCATATACACCATACACATTTACACACATTGCCTCACACACACACATACACTGCCCACCCATATACACACAGACCCCCATACACAGCCCCCCCATACTAACATTGCCACACACATACACTGCCCACACACCCTACACATTCACACACTACACCCCCACACACACACTGAACCTTTCACACACATTGCACCACTGCTCCTATTCCCTACTACAGCCTCATATCCCAGCAGACCCCAGGTAAGTTGTCAAACTGTTCTTAAACGGTTTGACCACTTACTCTGGAGCAGTAGTGGTTATTGTGCATGGATTATTTCTTTAAATAATCTACAAGTGCCCCAGTAGCCAGCCAGCCAACCCACAGGCTGGCCAGTAGCCAGCCAGTTAGCCAGCCCACAGGCCAGTAGCCAGCCCACAGGCCTACAGCAAGCCACAGGCTTACTGCCAGCAAGCCACAGCCTGCCAGCCGCAGTCAGCAAGCCCACAGCCTGCCGGCAGTAGCCAGTAAGCCCACAGCCTGCCAGCCGCAGCCAGCAAGCCCACAGACTGCCAGCCAGCAACAGTAATTAAGGTAAGAGGAGCCAACTTGGCTTAGGTATCAGCGAGCTATGTTGTGTTGCTATATTGTGAATAGGAACCAGAGTGTTGGAGAGACCACCCTCCAGGCCCCATTAGACTCTAGCCTCTGCTAGAAATCTCCTCCATGGCCCATTAGCCCTCAATTGTAGTTTCTACTGGGGCCTGGAGGCGACTGTTTCCAGCAGGGGATATCTAATGGACGCTGAGATGGCCTCTGTTAGAAAGACCCCCTTCCAAGCCCTTTAGACTCCATTGTAGTCTCTAATGGGGCTTGGAGGGGATTCTTTCTAACACACCCTCTAAAGGACACTGAGATAGCCTCCGCTAGAAAGACCCCCCTCCATGGCCCATTAGCCTCAATTGTAGTCTCTACTGGGGCCTCGAAGGGCTTATTGCCCTTTTGTTCCTTGTGTCTAAAGATTGTGTAGGGTGTGGCTGGAGGCGGTGCATGGAGGCGGGACAAGGGTGGCGCTTGCTGCAGAGTATGGGTGGGGCCTGTAAGGGGGCCCTTGATTTATTTTGCCCGGGGGCCCTGAGGGTTCTCAGTCCGCCCCTGGGTGCTGTGTGTGTTTGTGAGGGTGCGGTTAGTGTACTGTGTGTGTGTGAGCTGTATGTGTGTAGGTGCTGTATGTGTGTGTGCTGTATGTTTGGAGGGATTTGGCAGATTAGTAAATCCTTGCTGCCATGTGCCATCCCTTGTGGTCCAGTGGAGAGTGAACTCTAGCCTGCGGGGCTAGAGTTAACTCTCGCGAGATCTGAGCGTTGCCGCAGCAACACTCAGATATGGCGAGAGGAACCTGGCGGAGCTTCTGTCTAGAGCAGCCTGGGTCCTCTACTGCCTCCCTCCATGCTGCTGTGGGCCGGTGAGGTAGATCTTTGGTCTCCCCGCCGGCCCATGAAGGCTTAGAGCAGAGCCGGCACTCAGATAGCGCCGGCTCTGCGTGTGTGTGTGTATATATATATATATATATACGTACACACACACACACTACAGACACACACACATACATTACATACCAGACACACACTCAGACACACACACACCCACAGCATACACACACACACACACACACACACACACACATACTCACAGACACACACATACTCACAGACACACACACATACTCACAGACACACACACACTGACACACACACATACTCACAGACACACACTCACAGACACTCACACACTCACAGACACACACACCGACACACACACACACATACTCACAGACACACACACACACACTCACAGACACACACACACTGACACACACACATACTCACAGACACACACATACTCACAGACACTCACACACTGACACACACACACTGACACACACACACACACACACACACATACACAAATTATTATATTTTAATTTTTTTTAAAAATGTCCACCCAGCCGCCTACCTGGAGTGCTGGTGGACTTGTCCCTGGGGTCCAGTGGGGGCAGGCGCCTTTCTCCAGCTGAGCCGGGCTGTCTGCTGGAGCTGGGAGCCGCTCCCGGC